TTGAAATGCATATTATCTATCTGGTTGACAGAGAACATTAAGGTGGAGACCCCCACATGGCTGTGCCTTATGGAGGGGCACGGACTACCTGGAGGCTTCTTAAGTGTGGGGCACTGAGTTAATGGATCTTGGATTAAATGAATGCTGACATTAAATTAAATGGATGAAAACTAGAGGTCACAGACACAGGGCCCCCAGGTGAGATACCAGAGCTCTGTTTCTTAAAAAAAAAAAAAAAAAATAAATATATATATATATGTACACACACACACTTTATTGATTTCAGAGAGGAAGGGAGAGGGAGAGGGAGAGAGAGATAGAAACATCAATGATGAGAGAGAATCACTGATCGGCTGCCTCCCACATGCCCCACACCAGGGATCAAGCCCACAATCCCGGCATGCGCCCTGATTGGGAATCGAATCGTGACCTCCTGAGCCATGGCTGGGCCAGAGCTCTGTTTCCATGCACACTGTTTCCATGGGAGACAGAGGAGAGAGGAAAGGCCTGTGGGGACAGAGCAGAGATCTAAGCGGAGGAGAGAGGTCTTGCCAGAAGCCAACCTTGCTGGCTGGCATCTTGATCTTGGACGTCAGCCTCCAGAACTGTGAGAAATAGATGTCTGTTGTATTTTGTTATGGCAGTCCGAGCAGGCTGATACTACCTTTCTCCACCCTGGTGTCTCAGGGTTATTTTATGAAAAGATTTCTCTGGCTTGAAAGCCTCATTTGGGGGTCATCTTTCAGTCCAGGCCATGGAGACCTGGCTAGAGCTGCAGAGATGTGTCAAAAAAAGAAAGAATGAGCATGGGAGGCACACAGGGAGGTAATCAACACTTATCATGTATAGACTTTGTATGTAGTAAATTTCCTCCAGATCTTAATAAACGTTTTCTTCAATGTCTTGAAGAATCAATGTCAGAGAATTAATGCAGATTGAATGATTTCTAAAGGTAAACCTGCCCTGATCGGTTTGGCTCAGTGGATAGAGCATTGGCCCGTGGACTCAAGGGTACTGGGTTCGATTCCGGTCAGGGGCGTGTGCTTTGGTTGCAGGCACATCCCCGGTGGGAGGTGTGCAGGAGGCAGCTGATCGATGTTTCTCTCTCGTCGATGTTTCTAGCTCTCTGTTCCTCTCCCTTCCTCTCTGTAAAAAATCAATAAAATATATTAAAAATAAATAAATAAATGAAGGTAAACCCCCACAAATAAACAAGCAAACCCATTTACTCTTGGGCTACAGGGGAAAGAGAGACACAGAAGGCCCACAGGGGAGAGAAAATGGAGGAGAGACCCTCTCCTCATGCTGGTGGTGTGAGGTCCCCAGTCCTTATTTCTTCTCGCTTTAGAGAGGACAGGGTTGCTCAGGTGGAAGGGGCTGTTCGCTTTGAGATTCTGTACTACTAGTTTGATGAGAAAGTGTCTATACCCAGAAGTCTACTCTCCAAACGGCCAAAATAATAATTTTGATTCCCTGCCCCAAATGCTCCAAACAGCTTCCCATCACACCTAGAATGAAATCCATGTTTCCTGTGGCCAGAGGCCATGACCACCATCCTGGACTACTGTCCTTCAACCATGCCTACCTCCCACTTTGCTCTAGCTACGTTGGTTTCTTTCTGCTCTTTGAAAAGACAGAACTCTCACCTGGCCCAGAACCTTTGCAAATTCTCTTCCTTCTGCCAGGAATCAACGATCTGCTAAATTGTCCCTTTTTCAGAGAGGTCTTCCCTGACCACCCAATATAAACCAGCCACCTGTATAAACTATCCTTGTTAGCATTTATGTCAGCATAGATTCACTTGATACCTTGCTCACTGTGTGCGTTTCTTGCTAGAATATAAGGTTTGTGAGGGCAAGGACCTTGTCTAGAACAGCCTCAGGCATATAGCAGTGGTTCAGTATATATGTAATGAATGAATGAATAAGCAGGTAAGCCTGCCAGGGACAGACAGGGAATGGGGTATGTAAGGGTAAGGATGGGGATGCATGCTTTTTTCCCCTCCAAGAATGACTGATACTTCATTCTGTCCATCACTGTCCCTAAAAACTTCAGAATAAAGTGTCCTCCACACACAAGGAGAGAACAAGCTGTCCCAACTGGTCTTAGGACCAGACCCTAGCAAGCGTGCCAACTCACGGCCAGCGTGCGGCCTAACAGCCACGAGTTTGCCATGCCTGACAAGTGCCAGTGATCCCGTTTGGTTCCTAACCATCAGACTTGACATTTCTGAGCTCACCTGAGTGACTCTCCGGAGACAGGGACCTGTATCCTCCTCCAGTTGCCCAAATCCTATCTACCTTAGAGCATCCCCCAGGGCAGCCAGCTGGGACCATCACCAAGAGGCCTGGAGCACCTGCAGCCCGTGCCTCACCACACATCTCACTTCCGTTATCCTCACAACTTGACCCAGGAAGAGATGAAAGTCAATATCCAGGGACCCCTGAAAGAGAGAGTGGAATTTCATACCTCTAGTCACAAGGGCATTGGTGGGCCTGAGAGGCTGGAAACAGCGCCACCACGTGATCTTTCCAGAGCCTTCTCAGTGACAAATCCAGAATGAGCGTCCCTTCCCTTCCCATGTCAGGAAATGATCAACACCCAGCCTCCCTGCAGGCCTCCCCACACTGCTGGGTCCAGGAGGAAGTGTAACACATCAGAAGCAGCGGCTTCAGGCTCACTGCCGAGCTAAGTGCTTTCCGCAAGTTGTCTCATTAAATTGTCATTCTGCTTTGAGATGCGCATCATCACCTCCCACTTGACACACCAGGAGATTGAGGCTGAGGGCTGGGAACTCACTTTCTCCAACTCACATGGTTTGCAAGCGGTCAGGACGACAGTGTAGGTACTAACACTATGTTATTCGGCCAATTGAAACCAGTTACCTATATAACTTAAAAAACACACACAGCTGTATTGAGGCAAAATTTACAGATCATAAAATTCACCCATCGTAAGTGTGCAACTCAATGATTTTGGTAAACTTATGCAATTGTGCACCCATCACCACAGTCCAGTGGTAGAGCATGTCCGCTACCCCAAGAGCTTCTTCATGCCCATGCCTACCCTGGGTCCGAGGCAACGCTGCTCCGTTCCTGTCTCTATAAGTGAAGTCAGCCCACATCACCTTTCATTTTATGAAAAGCTGCACTTGTTTTGTGGAGACCGGTAAGTCAGCTCTTAACTCTCAGCTCTGCGGTGTGCTTTGGGTGAACACCAGAAGGAGGGCATTGTGCCTCCATATCTCAGGAGGCCTGCAGGGAAAGGTTTTGTTTGTTGCTTTGTTAACTGCTCCAGGCTTCTGAGGACATACACCTGAGCACTGCCAGCTGGAAGTGGAGGATGGGGGTGGGGGTGGGAAATCGTACATGTTGATTGTTCTGTTCTTTTGCCTCTTAAAACATGTAAAATAATGGATCTTAATTTATGGGCTTCCAGTCCAATTAGATTCAGGAATGGCTCTGTTTAAAGTAAAACAGAAAGTAAAATAAAGCCCTACACAGCCAACTGAAAAACATACACCAAAGGGCCCACCGGATGCTGCATCGTCTGTGAGCCTGCTCCTGCCCAGGAAAGGGGCTCCCCCTGCGAGGGGAAGTGAGGAAGACAGTAGCAAAAGGTCCACTTTCATTCCCTTCCCTAAATACCACCCGTTAGGGCATGACAATGTGATATTCCTTTCTGCTCCAGATCCAGGTCTCCCTAAGGACCCTGTTCTCCTGCCTCTGGACACGCCCCCCCCTCCCCCATCACTTCTGTGATCCCTTTCTCTGGGGCAAGGTCCAAGTTCACTCCTCATGGTGGAGGGAACCGAACCCCTTCCTTCCTCCAGCATTCCTGTTCCTCTGAATGAAAATCCCCTTCCACCCAGAGAACAAAAGCCCCTACTTCATGACCAGCTGCCTATTCCCACCCTTCTCCTGCCTGCTCCTCTTCTCACCAGGAGCAGCTACCTGCACAGGTGGAAGGAGGCTCCCAGGGCAGGTGATGCGCTTCCTCCCACAGTCACTCTCAGGGGCCGTCTTTTCTTTACCCAGACAGATTTGAAAACAAATTTTTAAAATATTTTAATTGATTTCAGAGAGGAAGACAGAGAGAGAGAGAGAGAGAGAGAGAGACATGATGAGAGAGAATCATGGATTGGCTGCCTCCTACACGCCCCTTACTGGGGATGGAGCCCACAATCCAGGCATGTGCCCTGACTGGGAATTGAACCCGTGACCCTTCAGTCTGAAGGCCGATGCTCTATCCACTGAGCCAAACCGGCTAGGGCAAGCAGTTTTAAGTTTTATTCACAAGTTTCCCTGGTGCAAGAACTGGGAGGGAGACTGACTAGAAGCCCAACAACAACAACAATAATATTTATTAAATACCTGCTACGTGTCATGCTGTGTGCTTTATCTATTTTTTCCTCATATAATGCTCAGAATAACTATAAAGTCAGTGATATTATTAGCCTCGTTTTACAGAAAACTAATAGTACTATTAGTACAGATATTATTAGCATAGATATTGGGTAGAATTATTGTCATTATTAAATTATTACTAGTACAAATATTTTATACCTATATTATTAGCACAGAAATTATTAAAGTGTAGTAAAAATTATTAGTAAAGGAAATAGTATCAGTATTATTATAGTGCAGAAATTATTAATACAGAAAATAGTATCAGTACCATTAATGTAGTACATACATTATTATTGTTATGATACAGAAATTATTAGTGTGAAATGATATCCATATTATTATTATACTATAAGGATTATTAGTACAAAAAATTGTATCATAACATTATTACTGGTCGCATTTTTCAGAAAACTGAGTCTTAGGTTAAGCAAAGTTACCTGAGGCTAGAGTTCTCAGTGGAGCTAGCTGAGTTCACTCAGGCATTAACCATTAAGCAATACTCATTCTCCGCCCCACCCCCATCCCCCAGGGCAGGGGAGGAATGTGGGGAGGAGGAGGAGGAACTATGAGGAAGTCACAGGGACAGAACAAGAAAGAACTCCAGGTACTTTTGGTGACTTAGGTCCAACAGGAAAATGGGTAACCAATTAACCTGGGAGATATTCCCACATCCTGTTTTTGAAAGAAAGAAACCATTTTGAAAGTTAGAAATGAGTTGGAACAATGCTGCATTTAAGCTGAGCTCAAGCAGCAGGTATTTGTGGAGTGTAGATTTTACACTGGGCTATTCATTTTGCTTTGGAAAGTGACGTTGAATTATGATACCTTTGTGATTACTTTATCCTAGAGTTTTGCTCGACGAATGAGCCCAAATCTCGGCCCCAGAGGTCAAGGGGGCATGGACAGAGCACAGGCTAGGATTTGCTCGGGGAACAGTGCCTGGGGCAGAGGACGTACGAGGGGAGGAGCTCCTTGCCCGTGAGGCTGCCGGGAGCCCGGAGGTGGGCTGGAAGGACTGGAAGAACCTGGCTCTGCGGCGGAAGCGAAGCGGTAAGTGTCCGTCTCCCAGGACAGACCGCTGGCGTCCGCACCGAGAAAAGCTTACCAGCAGCGCCGCCAGGGTCTGCCTAGGGGCGTGATGGTGCTCAGAGCACTGAGGGGAATTCCTCCAGCAGTTCTCAAACTCAGCACCACTGCACCTGGAACCGGCTGCCTCCTCTCAGCCTCCGAGGAATGGATTCACGTCCCTGCACCTGGGGGGGGAGGGCAAGATGCTCTGCCTGTATCCCCCCATGCCCACACCTCTGGGTGGAATCTCCTGCAGCCCTTGCCTGAGTGGGTAGGAGGCAAAGGGGGGAAGAGAGACCATCCCGGTGAAGAGCAAAGGGAGACTGGGACGGAGGGAGAGGGGGCGGCCGGGCGAGGGGCGGAGAGGGCTCCAGTGCAGGGGCTGGTCCAGGTCTGCCTGGGAGCCAGCTGGGCCGCTCCGCTCCTCCCGGGCGTGGGTTATGCTGGAGAGCGCCGGGCTCCTGAGTGGACAGGGGACTGGGACCCGTAAGGTGAGAGGTAAGGTGGGGTTTGAGGCAGGTGGAGGAGTGCGTTGCTAAAGGAGATTTCAGAACTTGCCGGAACAGAAGGACTCCTGGGGCACTGTGGTCTGAGAAACAGTTTCCAGTCATTTGTGAGGGGGCTTCTGACCTTCAGAATTCGTGTTTCTACCCTGGGGGCTGGATTCCTGACCAATCTAAAGGCTCAAAGACGCAGTGTTAGAGTCAGTTCCCTCCGGGCACTTTCTGCTGGGGGGGGGGGGGGGAGGGGGGGGGGGCTCAGGGGGGTTCTGGGCATCAGGTGGGAAGGCAGAGGGGCCTTCTGGACTTTCCGCTGTTGGCATTCAAATTACTCTCGAAGCTGTTGAGAAAGATCTTCCCTGAGCATTTTGCGGAGAAGAAAATCAATCAAAAATTTGAAAGTGAGAAAAATTCATTAAACACACTTATAACCGTGTTACCTTAGGGGAGGTAGGGGGAGGCCAGGTTCAGGCCGAGAGAGCAACCGGAAAGAGCGTCACAGAGTGTGGTTCACACTCACAGCTCCCTGGGGAGAAACAGCAGCCACGGGGGCCTCGAGGGGAAGCCCCAAGGTCAGCCAGGAGGCAGGAGAAAGGGGAACTGCGGGCAAGCACCTTATTGTGGTGTCTGTGGGGAGGGACAGGGGAGCAGGTGAGAGGCTTAGAGGTGACTAATTTGAATCATTTCAGAGGTCCCTGGGACACAGGGGCTGTCCCGGCTGTCTGGTACCTGCCCTGGGTGGGTACAGTGCGTCTCCAGTGGCCCAGATGTGAGAGCTGGTAAGGCAGGTGGTGGGGTGTGCACGCGATTGGTTGCTCAAACGGGGGAACGGACTGGCCTCCGCATGTAGGCAGGACGGCATGTAAATAAACTATGTGACACCTGTGAACATAGGGATGAATACCTCATTTTCATGTTTTAGGGGACATAAACGTCTCTCCACGTAAGCCTAAATTTGCAGAGTTGGAGCCATTACCTCCTGTCTTATTTGCATGTGAGAGTTGTTAGTTAGGCCTTTGGTGGGTGGCTGTCTCCATCTTCAGGAAAGGGCCTGGTTACCTCTGAGCTTGGAAGCCGTAGCTTCCTCCCCGGGGTTCCTCTCATCCTGAGAGAAGGTGCAGGTCAAGCGACCGGGAGGCTCTGGTCAGTGGAATGATGGCTCTCCTGGAGATGCCGCATCCTGACCCCTGACCTTGGGAATGTTAGCTTCCATGGCAAAAGGGAATGAAGGCGGCAGATGCAATCAAGGTTGCTAGTCAGCTGATCTTGAGATGGGATTCCCGAAAAGGGGAAGAGGGAGGCCCAGCCGGTGTGGCTCAGTGGTTGAGCACTGACCTATGAGCCAGGATTTGATTCCCAGTCAAGGCACATGCCCAGGTTGTGGGCTCCTTCCCCAGTGTGGGGCGTGCAGGAGGCAGCCGATCAATGATTCTCTCATCATTGATGTTTCTCTCCCTCTCCCTTCCTCTCTGAAATCAGGAGAAATATATTTAAAAAAAAGACTGACTGCTAACATCTTGCCATCACTTTCCATCTTTGTCTCCATACCCCCCACCCCCCGTCCCCCCTGCACACACACACACAGCAAATACATAGCATTATCATGTGCAGGGCACTGTGCACTATGAAGTCCTTGAATCTTCAAAAGGACCCTTGTGGGTATGTGTCAAAGAGCTGCGGTACTTGGATATTGGAGTTATTCCAAAATGTGTTGGAACAATTCAATTTTAAAAATATCATTACACCAGAAAAGACATCTTTTACAATTATTTGAACTTACGGTGGAAATTTTAGATGTCAACCTTAAAGTGTACATGGGAGTGCATAGTTTTGCAGGACTCTTTCTGCGAGTAAGTAGTGCAAGTTTGTAAAGGACTATTCTAGACTCTCACAGGTGTGTCTTCCCTAGGTGATGTGCCCAGGATCACTAAAGAGGTTGGTGGGGGCGGTGGGTTGGGGACAGATGTGATGCATCAGTTAGAGGAGTGCCAGTCATTATGCTGAAAGAATCCTGGGAAATAGCTTAAAGGAAAATCAAAACGAGAGACTGAATAGAAAGGAGTTCAGCTCAGGGGAGGTCCAGAGGGACGGGCACTGAGTAACCAGGCTGTGCTCTCCAGCATCGCATGCAGTCCCTCCCTCAAACGTCATCCCAACCCGCCATCTCCCCTTTCATATTTACTTGATGTTCTTAATGATGTCTCCTCCTTAACCTCAAACACTAAGTGTTAAACTTACTCTATGATCTATATAGCAATGTGTGTGTGTGTGGGGGGAGTGGGGGGTGGGAGGGGACTCATTCTATTTTACCAGGGATGCATTAAGCAAACAGACACTTTTTCCCCTCTTTTGGGAACCAAATGAACGTCATAGCAGAAATGTCATGGTGCACTGGGGACCCAAAATGAGTGGAGATGTAGCTCTGAAATTGACTAATTGACTAATAGACTAGTGCAGAGGTGAGGCCGAAAGCAGAGGCAATGGGAAATCTACCATAGAAAAGAGATGCCCTGGATGTAATTTATTCAAACTGATCATTGCCACCAGTCAAATTCATCAGCTGTAACCCCACCTTTCACCTGTCAGAAAACAGCATTCTCTAACTTACAGGAATAAGTACGCTGGTTCTATGGTGTCTCTTGAATCTATCCTCTCCAAGAGTAAATACAGGAAGTGTAGAAATGTTGTTAGAATTTGCTCTGATCAATAGCTCAACTGAAGTTGCAGAAGTGCTTCTTAAGGGTGGTACAGTACTCACTTCAGTTCACTTATTTGGCTATTTTTCCTTCCCAATGTCCATGCTAATATGTGTCAAGGTAGACAAAATCTTTAGTGAATGAGTTGTCTTGCTCTGATTCCTTTTGAAACCTGGTGACCTAGGGATTAGAGCTTGGGCTTGGAAGCCAGAGGGGCATGCGATTAAGATGGCCATCAGTAACTGGTTGTGAGGCTTGGCTGGTGCAGAGTGGGGGTGATGTGCCTTACTCAGGACTGCTGGGAGGGATCAAAGGCCATGGTGCAGAGAGCCCAGGTCCCCGGTCTGCAATACATGCTGGCCAATATTATCTGTTTGATTTCTAATTTGGTTTCTGAATAGACTGACTGCCAGCAAGAATCTTGTGCAGAAGACCAATACAAGTCTCTTGGCTGTTATTTTTTCAGTTGTAAAATCACAAATTGATATCCGGGCTTTAAGTTGTTACTGGTAGTTTGGTTACTGAAACAATTTCATCCGTTTGATTAACTATTTAGATAATAAAACATTTACAAACACCATCTCACTTAATTCTCATGAGAACTTACAAGTCAACCAAAACAAGGAGTATTATCCTTCTTCTCATTTAGGGAAGTGAAAAGTGAGTTTAAAGGATATTAAATAATTCTCACCTTTATTCTCCCTTTTCCTCTCTAGTACTACCCTCATCCCTCTTCCAAGCACTAAAATCACACATCCTCATCAGAGCCCATTGTAAACGTTCCTCTTCTCTTTTCAGAGGAAAATAACTCATTCTTCTTAGACCTTCTATAGCACTTGAAGTGTGAACCATATAATTTAGCACATTATTACTGTGTCTTTCATTTCTTTCCAATGAAGTGTGTGTGTGTGTGTGTGCAATATATAAAAAATATATAAATGTAATTTAACTCCCCAGCAAGACAAGAAACCTCTCAAGGTTAAGGATCATGAAACTTAAATAGATTTTGGGTCTTACTACCCAGCCCCTTTCCCCCTTCATACTCCCTAGCCCAGAACTGGACTCAGAGTAAGTGCCTGGTGTAAACTGGATTGATTCCCAGAAGGTTTACCTGAAATGATGACCTAGAAAATCCATGGCAGGATAAAAATGGAGACTGGCTCCTTAGGGACTGTCATCTAAGAAGCAGAATAAAATGTTCCTGGGAGAATTGAAATGCAAAAAAGCAAACATGGGCAGGAAACGCATCACTTATGCAGCTTGTAGCATTGATTCTGGCAATGCCCACCGTGCCCCTGTAACTGTGACCAGGACATGCCTTTAGTCACAGTGTCCCCCAGTCATGCCACTGTGACCCTGTGTAGGTGGGGACATCCTTCTGTGGCTTTCTGACACTCTGTTCTCCCTTCTGAAGTGATGAGAATTGTCTAAAAAATTAAACAACTCCTAACTGAGGGAAGCTAAATATCAACTGGTATTTTTGGAGGCTCTCTTAAATTAGGACAGCTGAGTTTAATGGAAAAATAAACATGTTTTGTACTGAATATCAGTTGCATATTGCTGCACACTGAATATCAACCTACAGAGAATTTTCCCTTTTATCACTTTTCTCCCTGTTTTTATATGGTTTATTATATAATCAAATAGATAATCCTTGTAAATTCCAAAAGGTAAGGCATTACTGGGGTTCTTTTATTTTTTTTAAATATATTTTATTGATTTTTTACAGAGAGGAAGGGAGAGAGATAGAGAGCTAGAAACATCGATGAGAGAGAAATATCCATCAGCTGCCTCCTGCACACCCCCTACTGGGGATGTGCCCACAACCAAGGTACATGCCCTTGACCGGAATCGAACCTGGGACCTTTCAGTCCGCAGGCCGACGCTCTATCCACTGAGCCAAACCGGTTACGGCTATTGGGGTTCTTTTATAACATAAAATTCCAGATTTTTGCCAATGATTCTAATGACCAGGATTCCTATCTCCTAGAGTCTAGGATGGTGGTCGGCAAACTCTTTAGCAACAGAGCTAAGTATCAACAGTACAACGATTGAATTTTCTTTTGAGAGCCAATTTTTTTAAACTTAAACTATATAGGTAGGTACATTGTTATTAACTTAATTAGGGTACTCCTACGGCTTAGGAAGAGCCATACTCAAGGGGCCAAAGAGCCGCATGTGGCTCCCGAGCTGCAGTTTGCCGACCACGGTGACCTAGACCACTGTTCCTCATACAGTGAAGATGACAAGGCCCTTGAGGATTGTCTAGTTCTGGGGGGTCCTCTTCTCCAGGGGAATGCTCCCCAGTCTTTGAGGTGCTTAGGAATCAACTAGGAATTCTGTTTCATAGATCTGCATTTTAACAGAGAAGTGGTGCTTGTACTCCTGGTCCACACACCAAATTTGGGGTAGCAATGTTCGAGAATTGGGGCTCAGTGGTAAGACAGGTCCCTGATAGCTTGGCCAAAGATTCTTATGTGGAAGCAAATGTGGTCCCCATAACTGGAGGTCAGAAAAGTCCTTAAATTCTAGATGTCCCTGCTTTAAAGGGAAGACAAGCTGGGGAAGACTTGAGTTTTTGAAGAAAAAAATGATTAACAGCTATTCCTCCTCTTTCTTTCCCTCCTCCTCCTCTTCCTTCTTTTTCATGCCTGATAGAGACCAGGGAATCAATGTGTTAATACTCGTCCCTTCTGCCATCAATACTACCTCTGTGACTACCTAGCTGTGGGGCCGTAGGTAAACCACTGGAAATGCTGCAATAACCAATGCGATCTGCATGGTGTCTGGGCCCGTGCACTTCACTGCCTTTAGCCCCAGCAGTCCTTACCAACCGTGTCACTGTGAGGCAGAGCTTCTTTGACCCCCAGAATGCTTTAGTGTGGGGCCACCTTCCTGTCCAAGAACTTGTCATTCATTTGATCAGGTGGACACAGATAGATCATGTAGGACAAGCTGCCATTGTAGACCTTGGCAATCATTTAGAATAGGAGCTTTAGGTTCCAAGAGGAGGAGCCCCAGGACCTCTGAGTTGGAAGGGCGGTAGCGTCGTCTTAGAGTATACGTATTAGGAAATGACTAGTGCCTGGGAGCTCTCCCTGGTGCTGCTTAAGGCTTCTCCACAGAAACCTCTTGAATTTCTGCTCTTTTGTCTAAAGCATCCATCTAATTCCTGGCTTGTAAACGTGCCCTACTTGGACTTTTCTGCTTGATTATATTTCATATTTTTTTCTGGCCAATACTTGGAGCCTTTTGTCTTGCCTGGGAAAAAGTAGTGAGGTCTTTAAGCTCTTTCTTTGAGGACAGATCTTCTAAACCATTAAACCCTGTCTGTTTATCTATCTACCATCTATCTATCTATCTATCTATCTATCTATCTATCTATCTATCTATCTATCATCTATTTATCTATCAATCATCTATCTATCTATCTATCTATCTATCATCTATCATCTCTCTGTCATCTCTGCTTTAATTTGATGTTCTTGACAAGGGAAGGAAAAGAAAGTTCATTGTGGCCATATCTTCATAAGCAAAATAAGGCAGAGGCACATAGTAGGTGTTAATGCACTTTAAAAATTTTGCATAAGACTTATATAAAATAAACTCGTGAACCACTGTTGTGGGTCAAGAATATCCCAGAATATCTATCTATCTATATATCTATCCTATCTATCTATCTATCATCTATTTATCTATCAATCATCTATCTATCTATCTATCTATCATCTATCATCTCTCTGTCATCTCTGCTTTAATTTGATGTTCTTGACAAGGGAAGGAAAAGAAAGTTCATTGTGGCCATATCTTCATAAGCAAAATAAGGCAGAGGCACATAGTAGGTGTTAATGCACTTTAAAAATTTTGCATAAGACTTATATAAAATAAAATCAACTGTTTAAAAGTGTACAATTCAGTGGCATCTAGTAAAGTCACACTGTTGTATAACCACTACCTCTATCTAGTACCCCCCCCCCCAAAAAAAACCCCACTTAATGCATACCTTTTGAAAGCTGACTGAAAGCAAAGATTACTTGGGTGATTCAGAAGAAATTTCTGCCACTTATTGGATTCACTAGGCAATTTATTGACTCTAACAATTGTAAATCTCTTAACTATATGAATACTTTTTATCTTTGTTTTGCCTATGCAGTAATGAAAATAATGATAATACCAGTTATTATTCATGGAATATTATTCTACTATATGCCAGACACTTTAAATATATTTTCCTAGTTAAGCCTCAGAACAATCTAATGAAATAAGTGCTATTATTAACTTTTGACAGAAAAGAACACTGAAGCGCCAAGAATTCAATTAACTTGCCCAAGGCCACACCACTATGAAGCCATAGAGCTGAGGCTTAATCCAAGGCTGTCCGACTCCAGGACCTGATCTCTTAATCACAGTAAGATAATGCTTCATGTGGACATGTACTTGTTATCTCTGCCAAGCATGCATTTTGTTAAACTCTCAGCAAGCAAAATATTGGCTACATGTACGATCAAGATTGGAAACATGGGAACAAGGAATGAGAAGCTAACAAAACACCAGAAGTCTTCCCAGAACCTTTAAAATCATGATTTATAACTATAACCTCCTTTCTCTTGCATAACCGATCTCTTTTCCTCTAGTGGATCACTACTGGCAAAAAAGAAACCTGCTCTAATGTCCATTTTAAAAACAAACATCAAAACCTGTCTTGATTCCACATCACGCCTTTCTGGTTGCCTTCCTATTTTCTGCTCCCCTTGACTACACTGTGTTCACTGCTTCTTCATTCATCTCCCTTCTTTCCCAACCTGCTCCAATAGAGATCGTGTCCTCACCCCTCCCCTGACACAGCCCTCGTAAAAGCCACAAGTGACCTCCATGTTATCAAATCCATCGCTTACTTTTTAGGCCTTAACTTGTGAAACTTTTCATCAGCCTTTGGCACAGTTGGCCATTGGGTCAGCACTCCTTGAAACTCTTCTTATGCCTCTGTCATCATCCTCTCCTGGTTCTCTTTCAACTACACAGGCTCCTCTTTCTCACTCTCTCTCCCTGGTTCTTGGTTCTGATTCTAGGCACCTGGTCCCCCCTCCTCCACCCAGGGCTTGGTTCTGGGACCCAGGCCATTCCCCATCCACATGTCTTCCCCCATGGTAACCTCATCCAGTCCCATGGCTCCCAGTGCTCCTTTTATAGCTCACGCTGTGACATGACATCTGCTCAGGCTCCTCCCAAGTTTTAGCTGCCACCTTGATGTTTCTTCTTCAGGTTTAATAGGCATTTCATACTTAACACGTCTAAGACTGAGGTCTTGATTTGAGCCCCTAAACTTGCTCTTTCCTCAGAGTTCTCCATCTCATAAATGGCATCATAGTTTACCCAGCTGCTCAGATTAAAACAACAATAACAACCACCACCTTGATTTCTCTCTCCTCCATCCCTAACTCATTCATGACAAGGTGGCTTAACTAACTCTACATGATATCAGAAATCAGTTGACTTCTATGTATCCCCATCCCCCCTGTAACCATTGTAATCCAAAGCATCACCATCCCTCACTACTACAATAGCCTTACCTCTGGTTTGTCTGCTTGTTCTTACTACTCATTCATTCTGACAACTGCCACCAGAGCCAATCAGATCAGGTGACTCCCCTGCTTAAACCTGTCCTTTGGTTCTTATCTCAAATAAAACTGAAACGCGTTGCTTCGGCTTTCAAGCTCCTACATACACTGCCCTCTGAGTTCACCTAGTTCCCTACTCTCCCTCTCCATCTAAGCTCTACCACGCCAGCCTTCTTTCTAGTTCCCACATATGCCAAGCCCCTTTCCTGGCTGGTCCTTCTGCCTGTAATTCACTTCGCCTAGATTTTTAAAAATCATATATTTTTATTGATTTCAGAGAGGAAAGGAGAGGGAGAGAGAGATAGAAACATCCATGATAAGAGAGAATCACTGATGGGCTGCCTCCTGCACACCCTACACTGAAGATTGAGCCTGAAACCCAGGCATGTGCCCTCACCGGGGATCTAACTGTCACCTCCTGGTTCATAGATCGACACTCAACCACTGAGCCACCCTGGCTGGGCTCTCTTAGATTTTTACATAGCTGACTTCAGATCATTCATGTGTCAGTCCAATATCCCCTTCCTGGAGAAGTCCATGCTAACTATCCTTTCCAAACTAGTCACCAAGCTCCAGACCGGTCACTATCACATGGCTTCTTTTGTTTTCTCCATTATCCTCATCACTATCTACAAATGCTTTGCTTGCTTGTTTATTATCTCTTAAGATATAAGCTCCATGAGGGCATAGACCACACTAACCACTGTACCCTTCATGCCTAGAACAGTGCCTGACACAGTTTAGGTGCCCAGTAGATGAGGGGATTGAGGCTCAAAAAATAACTTGCCCCAAACCATCCAGTTAGTAAGTGATGAATCCAAAATTTGAACCCAGGTCTTTTTACTATAAATCTTGGAGTTCTTTTTTTACATGATCATTCATGTGATATATATTTTATATAAATGGGTTACCTGGCTTTTTATTATTCATAATTGTGAAATAATAGAAAATATATATTGGTCTCTGCCCTTGGTTCCTGGCACAGAGCTCCCAAAACTCTTGTGACTTCTGAAGCGATAAAAATGTTAGGGGCAGCTTTTGCTTTAATGTATTTGTGTTTTGATCCCTGTTCCTAACACAGAGCTCCTGAAACCCTTGTAATTTCCTGGGTGATAGAGGTGTCTTTTATTCTAATGAGGTGACTCTGGGTGGGGTCTTACATGCGGGCTGGTCACAGGGAAGACCAACCATGATTGGAAGCTCAGGATTTTCAGCTCCAACCCCCATTCTCGAGAAGGGAGGAGGTTTGAAAATGGAGTTAGTGGTTGGTCGCTCATGGCTACATGATGAAGCCTCCAGAAAAACCTCCAAAAGGACGGGGTTCAGAGAGCTTCAGGCTGGTGAACAAATGGAGGTGCTGGAGGGCCGTGCCCATGAAGAGGACATGGACCTCCGTGCACCTTCCCACAGGCCAGGCCTTCCACCTGGGTGCTCCTCTGTGTCTCTTAACATATCCTTTTTATAATAAACCAATAAACATAAGTAAACTGTTTTTCTTGACTTCTGTGAGCTGCGGTAGGAAGTTAATCGAACCCCAGGAGGGGGTCATGGAACCTCTGATTTATCTGGTGGATTGGCCAGAAGCACAGGGGACAACCTGGACTTGTGATTGGAATCTGAAGTGGGGTGGGGCCAGTCTTGTGGGACTGAGTTTAACCTGTGGGATCTGACACTATCTCCAGGTAGGTAGTGTCAGAGCTGAGTTAAAGTGTACAGCACCCAACTGGTGTCATGGAGGAATTGCTTATGTGGGGAAAAACCTCCACACATTTGATGATGGGAAGTGTCAGAAGTGAGTGTTCCCCATGAGTAAAAAGGAAAGATTCACAGGAAAGAAAAACACAGGTGGAGGGGGACACTAGGTAGTTTTTTCTTATTCAATAATGTTTATTAAAAAAAAAACACCCCTAACCGCCGAAACCGGTTTGGCTCAGTGGATAGAGCGTCGGCCTGCGGACTGAAGGGTCCCGGGTTCGATTCCGGTCAAGGGCATGTACCTGGGTTTCAGGCACATCCCCAGTAGGAGATGTGCAGGAGGCAGCTGGTCGATGTTTCTCTCTCATCGATGTTTCTAACTCTCTATCCCTCTCCCTTCTTCTCTGTAAAAATCAATAAAATATATTTAAAAAAAAAACCAAAAAAACAAAAAAAACCCCTAACTAATATGAAAGTTTTTTCTTGCTCTAAAATGTTATTATAGTTGCATACACACATCACACTTTATTTATTTTCTTAAATATATTTTATTGATTTTTACAGAGAAGAAGGGAGAGGGATAGAGTGTTAGAAACATCGATGAGAGAGAACACTCGATCAGCTGCTTCCTGCACACCCCCTATAGGGGGTGTGCCCGCAACCAAGGTACATGCCCTTGACCGGAATCGAACCCGGGACCCTTCAGTCCGCAGGCCGACGCTCTATCCACTGAGCCAAACCGGTTAGGGCCACACATCACACTTTAAATTAATATGCTATATATCTGGAAAATATTTTTGTAGTAATACACTTTTTATTGTTGTTGTTAATCCTCTCCTGAAGATATTTTTCCGTTGATTATTTTTTTAGAGAGAGTTGAAGAGAGAGGGAGAGACAGAGAGAAAGAAACATCGATGTGAGAGAGACACATGGATTGGTTGCCTTCTGTACTCACCCCGACCTGGGGCCTAGGATTGAGCTGTAACTGAGGTACATGCCCTTGATGGGAATTGAACCCAGGACCCTTCAGTCTGCAGGCCGACGCTCTATCCACTGAGCCAAACCAGCTAGGGCACACTTTTATTTTTTAAAAAATATTTTTTTATTGATATTACAGAGGAAGAGAGAGGGAGAGAGCTATAGAAGCATCAATGATGAGAGAGAATCATTGATCTGCTGCCTTCTGCACGCCCCCCACCCCCCACTGGAGATCGAGTCCAGGCACACCCCGGCATGCGCCCTTGACTGGAATTGGACCTAGAGCCCTTCAGTCCACAGGCTGACGCTCTATCCACTGAGCCAAACTGACTAGGGCACACTTTCTATTTTTAACGAGCTAAAACTTACAGAAAAAGCAATTTACTGATTTAAAATAATATATTGACAGAGGAGAGAGAGAGAGAGAGAGATTTGTTGTTAATGCATTCATTGGTTGAGTCTTGTGCCCTGACTGGGGATTAAACCTGCAACCTCGGTTTATCAGGAAGATGCTTTAACCAACTGCACTACTAGGCCAGGGCTATATACTGGTTTATTTTTTATTTTTGGTCAGAAAGTTATTAAAATATATTTGGAACAATTTACCTTGCAGTCAATCCTTTTACATTCTCTTGAACAAAATTATTTTTTAAATTAGTGTCTTAAATTCTCTAAAAAAAGGTTTCATAATGCCATTCTCAAATGGAGGAACTGTGGTTTGCTAACCATACATTTTGAATGTGCCCGAAATAGAAATACAGAAATATGTATGTTCTAGGACAGTGGTTCTCAACCTTCCTAATGCCACAACCCTTTAATACAGTTCTTCATGTTGTGGTGACCCCTAATTTCATTGTTACAAGTTAAACATAATTAAAGCATAGTGATTAATCACAAAAACAACATGTAATTATATATGTTTTCCGATGGTCTTAGGCGACCCTTGTGAAAGGGTCGTTCAACCCCCAGTGGGGTCTTGACCCACAGGTTGAGAACCGCTGTTCTAGGAGGAAAAGCAGTAATAAGACTCCTAAGTAACCTGAGGATTTTCAAAATAATAGGTACATGTACTTAAAAACCACTGTATGAGTTTTTCCCCTCATAACTCTAGGTTTTTGTTGTTGTTGTTTTTTAACTTTTTGCATCTAAGAAAGAATGTACTTAGTCTGTAAAGTCCAGTGTGCTGGTACTGATGTCCCCTGGCCTCCTGCTGTTGGACTCCATCTGTTGGCTTCACCCGGGAGCATGATGAGTCATTCAGCTTTCTCGATGCTTCGGTCTACCCTCTGCCACATACACCTCTTCTCCCCCAGTCTCCTCAATATAGCGACATAACACTTTTTGATTAAGCTAATAATGTTTACATAATGTCTGTTGTTCAGAGCTGAGCCAAGTATGATTGTACAACTGTTTTTTTTGTTGTTGTTTTTAAATCTTGGCATGAATAATTGCCTTTTGGCCATTGTTTTGTTCTCGTTGTGCTTTTCCCCAATTCATCTACACACTTTCTGAATGAACTATAATTTCCCTCACTGAGGTCAGACAGATGGATTATCCGTTTCTCTCTTTCTCTTTCTCGTGTTCTTGGGACAGCCTCCTGTGGTGCTCTTCTTGCGTCCGTCTCCTCTGGCTGCTCTCCATGAGGCCCGCGGACATCAGTCCTGGGTTCCTTTGATCAGATTCCTAAGAATGCCCTTTGCTATTGCCTTGGAGTGGATCTTTCACTTTCTGGACCTGTGTTTATTTCTTTTTGGTTTATATTATTGTATGGTTTACATTTTGCAGTAAATTCCTCAAAAGGGTACATATAGGGAACACTTTTTTTTGAATCAGTGTAAATGAAAATGCCCTTATTTTGCCCTCGGACTTAATGGGTAGTTTAATTGGGAGTGGAGTTCTGGAATCAAAATAAGTTTCTCTCGGAATTTTAGATGTACTGATCTTTCTTCCAGTGTGACTATTGAGAAATCTGACATCATTTCTGACTCCTACCTCTTCGTACGTGATATATAGGGTGTCCCAAAATTGTATAGACACTTGAACAGCTGATAACTCACTTAATTTTGAAAATGAGCTGTATGTTAATAAACACTGATTTTATAATTATTCCAAGTGTGTGTACATTTTTTGGAGGAGATTTTAGGATCTTCTCTTTATCTTTAGTGTTCTGAATTTTAAAATGACTTGCCTTGGTATGGGTCTTTTTTCATTTACTATGCCAGGTGCTTGGTGGTTCTGTTCAATCTAAATATGCATGTTTCCTCAGTTAAAATGAGTTATACTCATTTTTTTGGTATAATTTCTGCAACCTTAGGGGGCTTACTATGGGCCATTTTATTAGTTGTCCTGCCCTTCAATATTGCTCAGAAAAAATGCTTATGTTGAAGATTTTTAAAAAAGCTTTATTTATAATTTTCTCTTTAAACTTCATAAAAGCTGATAGATTTTATGGAAATTTTTCTACTAATACCATTATTATTTTTTCCCCTTGGAAAAAAGGTAGACTCTTCTTTGGAAAAATATTATTATTATTATTTTATTGATTTCAGAGAGGAAGGGAGAGGGAGAGAGAGATAGAAACATCAATG